CCCTTCGATAAGGGCACCACATGATCCTAATATCTAATAAAAGTGATAAGCCAAAGAGGCTAACCTTGACTATAAAATAAAAAAAAAAAGCAATCTATATAAAATTTTAATTTGCCACGTAGACCATATAAAAATAATCTATGGACACCCTACCCTTAATATAGTTAAATCTCTCTAAATATATAGTTAGATTTTTGAAAAACAAAAAATAGTAATTATATAAAAATATAACTTGACGTATAATGTAATTTAATTAGTTTTTAAAAGCCAAGACCTACATCGAGCTCGCTATAAATACAGTTTGGAATTGTTTTTATAAGAATATATGGACGAAAAGGTGTGAAACAATACGGAAATAGGAAATAGTACAGAACGTTACTATTTTTTTAAAAAAATCGGTTTTTACTAAGGTTTCGATATCCAGACTGATTTAGGTTCAATTTCCAGATACGGTGCCTAAATTTGTTCAGTTGAATCAAGGCTTTCTTCAGATCCAGTCAATTAAACAAAATTATACTTGTTTTTTTTTTACAATAATTAGAAAAAAAATTAATATCCGTTGTTCGATTAGAAAAACCGAATTTAAATCTATTATCAATAAATCATCCTAAGAAAAAACATATAAGTAGTTTTATATTCATAGTAAAATAACCCGCGAAGGAAGCAAACGTGTACTGTACATCTTTAAGGGGCCTCTTTCGAGAATTAAGAATTACCCGAGATATTGTCTGGATAATTAAATAAGAACCCCAAGTAAAATTCAGGAGTCCAAGCATAGGTAAATATTATTCTGTAGTTAGACTTCCTGATTTCACTTTGTCCCTGCTTGAAAGGATTATCTTTAATGCTTATCGTTATTCATTTTGAGGGTTCATCATGTGATGCAATTGAATAATTAGACACGTGACTCTCACTCAATAGCTTTCAGGAATTCAATGTGCAATTCTGCAATTGTTTTAGAGACATCACATGAATTATAAAGTCGCGTTTTGACGCGGTTCATTATTATTTTAATTTTTTCTGACCGTAACACAACTAAATGTATTATACTCGGAATATAAATATGATGATCAAGCAGTAGCCTTCATTCTTTAACACATACGTATTCCTTGTATCACCAAAATATCTTTACATTCGTTAATAATCAAATGCCCGATTCTATTGAACGAAACCGCCATAGAAGAGTAATAAGGCGGGCGCCATTGTGGGAAAGAATTACAAACTGGCCGAGTAATAAGCTAACCGAAGTTCAAGAGGACTGGGCCTTAAATGATTGGGACAGTATTTATAAAAAATTAAGGTGCGTGAATAACTCTCGTTCGTCATATAATGATAAGGCAAAGTAATTATTATTTTTTTTTTCGAAATAAAAACGAACAGTTGGCCAGTCTCTTTATTTTTGAATGGACTTTCGATATCCCTTCGTCTTGGTTATTGGTTTGACGGTCCAAAATATGATCCAGTTTTAAACCCTCGATTGACTTCATTTGCACTTTGGGTATGATAAAACAATTGGTTTTTAGTTTGTTCCCTTTGAAGAACTTAAAGTAGTCATTAATTATTCATATTTATTTTATATAGCTAGCGTTTTTTGAATGGATATTATTGTTTTTGAGTATCGCGAATGCTATTTTCGTATATATGTTTGTTAAGGAATATCAAATGTTTGAGCATGACATCGATGTAATAGTCATATGACGAATATTTTACCTCTTGAAGAGAATATATGATGATAAAGATACTGACACATATATTGGTTTATCTATAAGAGCCGTCCAAATTCGCCAAATGCTTACTTGAGAGAGATTGGAGACACTAATTTTTGGACCTCTTCGTTTCCTGGAAATATTATGTGAGTTATTCTACCATAAAATTTTACATTGTATAACTTAGAATAACTGTTTAATGTAATTTTTAATATTTGTAGCTATAGCTTGTATTCTCGGTTTTTTGATGACGCGTCTAGTAATGAAGAACGTCAATATGTATGGGTCATTAGGTCATGGGATCCGCCCATTTTTTTTCTCAATATTTTCTGGTAAATTTTAAGTATGATTCAAGAATTTGCATTATATTATTGAATTGGTAAAGATCATTTATATACATATATTCCAGCTATTACTCTCCCGCGCAAGTTTTAATCCTCCAATACCTTGATGCCGAAAATTATCAACAAATCCTTCTGGCTGCAGCTTTTGTTGGATTTAACGTAAATAGTTTTTTAACAATATTGACAGTTAATTAAAAATAATCCAATTACTAACTTGGCTTAATTGCTAGCTAAAAATGGTTGTTAGAGCTTACGAAGAATTAATTAAAGATAAACAATTAATTGCGGGAGAAATTATGAACGAATATAATAAGAAATTAGTTTATCCACATCTATTTGTCCGCAAATTTGAAATAGGTACACAAACTAATCCTGTATCAACTTGGGAATTGGAGGGATATGGCTAAGTTAACGAATGTTTTTTTCATAACGATAGATTTTCGTTGTTTTGTTTTTGTACAGTTTTTTTTATCATTAATAATGTAATCCAATAGTGAAATGCTAACTTTAGAAGAGTGATTATTTTTGTAACTGAAAAGTGTGAACTTTTTAAAAATTTGGTTGATATTATAAAAGATTGTAGATTATTACCGAAACAAATAAAAATAACCGTGATTATAAATTTTTCGTGTCACGAAATTTATATTTATATAATTTCTTTGTAACTTTTCTTACGTACGTACGTACGTACTGTTGCAAAAACAATAATTATTTGAAATAGGATGATCACCATGCGTAACATTAGGCTTCGGTTGTTAGCGATTTCACATCTCGAATAAAGAGAAAAATTTTGCAAATCTTTAATTGGCTAAAGTACATTCGTATCGTCGATGTATCGTCGATAATATCTGTTAACTAATTCCAAAAGTTAATGCTATATAAAAATTTATTAACATTATTCTAATAATGACAAGCTTTTAAAAATATTTTTATTTAATACTGAGAATTTATCGTCCAGTTGCTACTTGCTTTTTACGTATTCAATTCTAAAAGTAAAAGCACGGTTAATGATTACCAATCAAAGTGTTTATATATGCTATCTTGCAGATCGAATGTTTGATATCTGATATCGATATCTATTAAAATTAAATATCATCAGATTAAGCATTGTCATAATTTATGATATTATGATATCATCATTATTTACAATTCGTCCAAAT